GTTGGCTCCTCACTGATATGGGTGTTTCCTCTTCTGGCGCTACCTCTCTTTATTGTGACAATCAGAGTGCTATTCAGATTGCTCACAATGATGTTTTTCATGATCGCACCAAACATATTGAGATTGATTGTCATTTCATTCGACAGCATGTTACACGTGGTACTGTTCATCTTCTCCCTATTGCTTCTGCCGATCAACCTGCTGATATTTTCACCAAGGCTCATCCTCCTGGGCGCTTCCGTGATCTTGTTTTCAAACTCAACTTGGTCGATGCCTACCCTCCTTGAGTTTGCGGGGGGCTGTTAACATATAATATACTTACCATCACACTATAGTAGCTGTAAAGAGAGCGTAGCTGTAAAGAGAGCTCACCCACTATCACACACCTTCAACCTTCAGCTTTAACAGAAGCTTTTATATTGTTTAATGTATTGTCGTATGCGCTTTCGGTGCTCCATTGTCCCATTGTCTCCTTCTCCTCTCTATAAAGAGAGAGAGCTCATTCTCTTGTAAATATACAAAATACAAATAACAGATAGTGAATACACACCAATCTTTCATTCCAGTCTCTCTCTTTTCTCTCTCTCTCCTTACCAATCTTTCAAGTACCAAGTCATTTCAAATGCCCCACTACATGTTTGAGCCAGGTTTGGTCACCTTATAGTGGTCAAACTACTTGTGAATTACTACAAGCATGTCTCCTCTCAACAAGAAGAAAAGCCATCTAGAATGGAAATAGAAGAAGAGTTAATACTGTGGCGGTTGACAAATTTGGAGGGCACCATAGTGTTGCATGAAGCTTTAAGGCATGGACACGAGGATGTGTCGCTTTTCTTGTTACAACTAGATGTTGAAATGGCATGCCATCCTAATATTGCTAGGGAGAGTCCTTTATATTTGGCTGCAGAATCCTAATGCGATAAAGTTATGTTTCAAGATTTTTTAGGAAGCCCAAAACTTGTTGAAAATCCAGAAATTGGGCCACTTGCATGGCGAGTGTGTGGAGAGTGCGGTGGACTTCCACTATTGATTGAAAAAGTAGCAAATACTTTCAAACTGAAAAATGACATGTACCTTTGGAGTGAGGGATTGAATAGTTGGAGGATGTGGCCTGAAAAAGAATGCCAAGGCATTCGAGAAATGTATAAACTGTTGAAATTTTGTTATGATGACTTGGATGAGGACCGACAAAAGAAATGCTTTCTTTATGGTGCATTATATCCAGAAGACATTGACATAAACACAAATTCTTTGTTGGAGTGTTGGGCAGCTGAAGATCTCCTTGGCAATGATCATGGCAAAACAAAGACAAGTGTCATGATTGCACGTTGCATGTTGAATCGCCTTATGAATGTGTCATTACTTGAGGAAGGTAAGAGTGAGAATCACGTTACAATGCACAAATTCATGTGACAAGTGGCCTTGTATATAACAGAAGATGATCCTGAATGTAAATGTCTTGTACAAACAAATAGATCATTAAGAGAGGCCCCAGATGTGAAATCTTGGAGTGACAAAAATAGGATCTCCTTGGGTGACAATGAGTTGGTTTGGTTACCAGATTCCCCTTGTTGTACCATGCTTTCCACACTCTTCCTGCAAAAAAAAATTGGATCTGACCAAAATCCCTGAGTTATTCTTCAAACATATGAAAAATCTTCGAGTTTTGGATTTATCTCATAGTGGAATAATTTTGTTACCATCATCAATATCAATGTTGATTAGTCTCAAAAATCTATATCTAAATGATTGCAAAGATTTAATGGAGCTCCCTTCTAACATTGGTGAACTTGCTTAACTTGAAGCACTTGATATTCGGGGGAGTGGAGTCAATAATATACCACCTCATATTGAAAAATTGATCCATCTAAGACGTTTGCTAGTATCCTTCACCAAGTTGAGAAATGGAAATGCCACTCAAGAGGTAGCTTTTGGTTACAATATGATATCAAAACTATCTAGATTGGAAGAATTGGTCATTGATATGAAATCACCTGAGCAGTGGTCCAATGAGGTGGTAGAAAATATCATAAAAGAAGTGGCTTCATTGAAAGAATTGAAGATTTTGAAGTTTTGCATTTCCAACAAGGTTGTAGATTTCATAAAGCTAGTGAATATGAATCTCCGTATATGCCTTTCTGAGGCAACAAGTCTTCAAAGTTTTATGGAAAGAAGTTCAGGGAGAAATATCTAAAGCATCAGGTTCTTTCAAATTTTCATTGGTTGCCAAAACTCAGAACATCCTGAAATTCCTGACTTCATCAAGTATGAAAGGTATATCAAATATTGCAGTGGTGCAGGAAGCAATTTTCCAACTCTTGACGTTCTTGCTCGAGCTAATGCATTTGAATTGGTCAACCACAAGGATATCAAGCATCTATCAGACTTTGGAATTGCAAGCTTGAAAAAGGTCTTAGGTTGTCTGGTTGAAAGTTGTGATGCAATTGAAGCAATAGTGGGTACAGTGGACAGTGCAGAGCCACTACTACCGAACTTAGAGGACTTGTACATAAAGAATTTACCGAGGTTGGAAAGCATTTGTAAGGTCCCAATGCAACCTGCCACACTCAATTCAACACTTTATTCAAAAATCATAACCAAACAAATTTTCTACACTCAAATCATAATTCTAAAACACATAAACTCAAAATACAACTCATATTCTCAAATCATAATTACAAAGTTCTACCAAACAGAGCCAAAATTATGCAGCGGATAAAATAATCAGATCATACCTTTCGATGATAGAACCTCGTGGATAAATCACGTACTTCCAGAAACTAGTCAATCAACCCAGCAGTGGAGTGATATCACAGATTGAATATCACCCACACAAATCACAGTGCAGATGACTTGATCGTTGTTTCTTGGGAGAGAGTAAGTTTATGGGTAGAAACAAAACATACGTTGTTTCTCACTTGGTTACCCATAACCATATATCAGATATATATTATATTATTATTATTTATCCATATCAGTTACAACTGATAATATCTATATTCTGAATGGTTATCCTAAATAGGTTTGAATTTAATTCAAAACCTATTTGGATAAGATACAAATTATGTTCAAATGCTCATGCCACATGGGCGCCCATTACTAACAGTCTCAATACACCTCACCTTGAAATAATGACTCTCTTGTTATGTCACTTCTTTGCTCCAATTGTTCTCTCACCTCACCTTGAAATAATGAAAAGTTACTGATTTTGTAGAAAAATGCTATACAAATCAATAATTTTACAAATTTTTCTGACTAACTGATGTGTCATGCAATAATCATAGATAGGAAACTAAAACAGGACCCGTTTCAATGATATCATAGGTACCACATCAGTAAATAAGAAAAGTTTGTAAGATTTCATAGTTTGTACAACATTACTCATTGAGAAAGATGAATTTAATAAAGGCAATTACTAAATCAAGGCTCATTATAATGTCACCTTTCTTAAGAAGTAATTCACACCAATCAACTCATTAGATTGGATTCAAAATAGTTTCTAATTAATTCCCACCAAGACGCAGAAAAGTCTAACATTGCCATTTCAATAACAAAGAAGTGGCCCAACTATAAAATTAACAAAATATTTTCTGCTGCGAATTGAATGCCTATTAAAAAGTCTGTAATTTTTAATAGAATGCCTATTCTAATGTGTCATGTAATAATCAAAGTTTGAAAACTAAAACAGAATCTACTTTAATGATGTGATATGTGCAACGTCAGTTTGTAAGATTTGGTAGTTTGTATTGCATTTTTTTTTTTTTTTTGGCTCATTGAATTTTTGTGGACTGCACCACTCCTTGGAATAAGATGTGGGCCTTCTTGGCAACATTTACACGAGAGAGAGAGAGAGAGAGAGAGTTTCAATTGTTCTCTTTCTCCAATGCTTTATGGCCATTTGTGGGTTAAATGGCTTAACATAGTTTAACATTTTAAAATTTCAGTTTTGGATTAGATAAATATAACTAAATAATTCTAGTAGTGTTGTATATTTGGTCACAATATCAGATTGGCAGGAAAATTAGCAAAACAGTAATTACTTTTGCTGTATGTTACATAGTGAATTTCATTTTTTGTGTTTTGAGTAATCTTATTTTGTCTGAAAACGCTGAGAAGGATTGTGATAATGTTCTTTAGTAGACTACAAGAAGTTCCTATAAGCCCTTTTTGTCAAATCTTAAGTCAAATCACCCGTCTCCAAGATGCCTTTCCATAAGGAATTAACTGTATGAAAAGAAAATGAGATTTTTATCATAATTAGTTCAAGAAAATTTGGTCCTGTTAGTGTTCGCTATTATTTTTGCACTGTTTATAGCACATTGATTTGCTATTCTTCTATTACCGGCAACTCAAATATGTCTTTGATAAAAGAATTGAGGTGATATTTGACATTAGCGTGAATTAAAGATGGTAACTTGTATGGTTTGGCTCTTAATCCATCCTTGCTTTTATTTTATCTAAATGATTCTTGCTTATTTCAACTTTTCTATTACAGGTTCTGAGTTTCTTGATGGCTGAAACAATTGCTGTAATAGGTGCAGCAGCAGGAGTAATGCAGGCTGTGTCCCAAGCTAAGCCAATATTTTGGGATCCACTCATGACCAAAGTCAACCTTTAAGAAAATGTAGAGGAGATTCATTATTATTTAAATGATGCAGTCAACAATCTAGTTTCTGTAAAGATGGATTTCAAGAATGAAGTTGAGAGAAATAAGATGAAGAAGCCATCTGAAGCTTACTTGGAATGGAACCGTAGGGTGATGAAGATTGAAGAAAAAGTGGAAGAATTAGTAGCCAATTATAAAAAAACCCAGCAAACGTTTTGTTAAAATTGATGTATTATTGATTGATGTTTTAATTTGTATACAATGACTCTCCTATATATAGAAGAGAAAAAATATATTGATGTATTATTGATTGATGTTTTAATTTGTATACAATGACTCTCCTATATATAGAAGAGAAAAAACATATTCACCTACCACACTCAACTCTCACCTAACACACTTACATCTACCTACCACACTCAACTCTCACCTAACACACTCAACTCTACCAACCACACTTACACGTTTTAGTTTTCCCTCTCATTCAGGTTTCAAAGAAAAGATGAAAAAGATGTACAAAAGAGTAATCAATCTTCGGGATGAGGTCGATCAAATTAGAGAGAAAATTTTGGTTAATCGACCACCAGAAACTGTTAAGAATATGAGGGCACCAGATATCAAAAAAATTGAAACACTTCAAAAGTCACTAGAACAGATACTGGATCTGCTGAAAGGCAACAAGGTTAAAGGGATCAGAATCCACGGGCCACTGGGGATTGGGAAAACAACCATAATGCTCAACTTGAATAACCACGAACAAGTTGCCAAAATGTTTGACATAGTCATCTGGCTCAAAGTATCAAAAGAGGGGAGCAAGGAAAATTTGAGCAGGAAGTGTCTACAACTGGATATTGTGCAAAGACTACAACTCAAGATGGGAGACACTAGTAATGCTGATGAAGTTTCCCAAAGAATACTAACGGAGTTGAAGGACAAGAACTACTTGTTACTTTTGGATGATGTCAAGGATGATGTCAATTTATATGAAAGAGGGATTCCTTATAGCAACAATCGCAGCAAAATAGTATTGACGACCAGGCTGCATCATGTTTGTTCCTCAATGGTGAAGAAGGAAATTAAGGTGACGTATTTATCTATAGATGAGGCATGGAAGATGTTTCAAGATGTTTTAGGAAGCCCAAAACTTGTTGAAAATCCAGAAATTGGGCCACTTGCATGGCTAGTGTGCAGAGAGTGTGGTGGGCTTCCACTCTTGATTGAAAAAGTAGCAAATACTTTCAAACTGAAAAATGACATGTACCTTTGGAGTGAGGGATTGAATAGTTGGAGGATGTGGCCTGAAAAAGAATGCCAAGGCATTCGAGAAATGTATAAACTGTTGAAATTTTGTTATGATGACTTGGATGAGGACCGACAAAAGAAATGCTTTCTTTATGGTGCATTATATCTAGGAGGCATTGACATAAACACAAATTCTTTGTTGGAGTGTTGGGCAGCTGAAGATCTCCTTGGCAATGATCATGGCAAAACAAAGACAAGTGTCATGATTGCACGTTGCATGTTGAATCGCCTTATGAATGTGTCATTACTTGAGGAAGGTAAGAGTGAGAATCACGTTACAATGCACAAATTCATGCGACAAGTGGCCTTGTATATAGCAGAAGATGATTCTGAATGTAAATGTCTTGTACGAACAAATAGATCATTAAGAGAGGCCCCAGATGTGAAATCTTGGAGTGACAAAAATAGGATCTCCTTGGGTGACAATGAGTTGGTTTGGTTACCAGATTCCCCTTGTTGTACCATGCTTTCCACACTCTTCCTGCAAAAAAATTTGGATCTGACCAAAATCCCTCAGTTATTCTTCAAACATATGAAAAATCTTCGAGTTTTGGATTTATCTCATATTGGAATAATTTTGTTACCATCATCAATATCAATGTTGATTAGTCTCAAAAATCTATATCTAAATGATTGCAAAGATTTAATGGAGCTCCCTTCTAACATTGGTGAACTTGCTCAACTTGAAGCACTTGATATTCGGGGGAGTGGAGTCAATAATATACCACCTCATATTGAAAAATTGATCCATCTAAGACGTTTGCTAGTATCCTTCACCAAGTTGAGAAATGGAAATGCCACTCAAGAGGTAGCTTTTGGTTACAATATGATATCAAAACTATCTAGATTGGAAGAATTGGTCATTGATATGAAATCACCTGAGCAGTGGTCCAATGAGGTGGTAGAAAATATCATAAAAGAAGTGGCTTCATTGAAAGAATTGAAGATTTTGAAGTTTTGCATCTCCAACAAGGTTGTAGATTTCATAAAGCTAGTGAATATGAATGTCCGTATATGCCTTTCTGAGGCAACAAGTCTTCAAAGTTTTATGGAAAGAAGTTCAGGGAGAAATATCCAAAGCATCAGGTTCTTTCAAATTTTCATTGGTTGCCAAAACTCAGAACATCCTGAAATTCCTGACTTCATCAAGTATGAAAGGTATATCAAATATTGCAATGGTGCAGGAAGCAATTTTCCAACTCTTGATGTTCTTGCTCGAGCTAATGCATTTGAATTGGTCAACCACAAGGATATCAAGCATCTATCAGACTTTGGAATTGCAAGCTTGAAAAGGGTCTTAGGTTGTCTGGTTGAAAGTTGTGATGCAATTGAAGCAATAGTGGGTACAGTGGACAGTGCAGAGCCAGTACTACCGAACTTAGAGGACTTGTACATAAAGAATTTACCGAGGTTGGAAAGCATTTGTAAGGGCCCAATGCAACCTGGAAGCCTAACCAAATTAACAACTCTACATCTGACAAGCTGTCAAATGATGGTTAAGATTTTTTCCTCTAGGCGTGATTCAACAACTTCATGAACTCCAGTATTTGAGAATTGAAAAGTGCCAAGAAATTGAAGAAATAATTGCAGAATCTGACATGGTTGGAAATCTGAATTTACTGCCAAAGCTAAAGGAACTAATTCTCCTTGAAATGCAAAAATTACGAAGTGTTTGCGCAATTGAGTCACTGGAGTGGAGATCCTTGGAGAAGATTGTTCTGTTTTGTTTAAAGTACCTTTCAACAAAAAGAATGCAGCAAAGCTGCAAACTATTGAAGCAGAGCAGCAATGGTGGGAAGCATTGCAGTGGCAGAATGATGAGGCCAAAGAACGGTTTCAAAAATTATTTACCTTCAGGTGATGTTTCAATCTTTAAAATGTTTCATCTTCATATTTTGTGCAGTTCCTTGCCTAACTTTAATTTCTCCAAAGTCCATAGATCTCGCAATGAGGCTACTCTCTGAAGATGGTCGTATGAGCTTTCAAAATCCAGCAGCACTGGATCCTTTTCGCCTTCACTCTTTTGAGAAAAATACTATCTGTGTCATGAAGTTTCCGAGTTAGTTTGGATGCGATAGTGTTGTTGTTGAGTGCTTCTTCTTGTGTTTGTTCCTTCCTGATGGAGCAACTTTACATAAGGTATTCATATATGAAAATAGCTGAGCTACTATTTTCTGTTTTGTTTGATGTTCTACAAAACAAGACTCTTACGAACTGACCATGTATTATTTGATTTTTTATCTAGCACACTTCTTTGTGTTCTCTAGTCTTAATCTTAGCCGCTAATTGGTATTCTAGATCATCTTCCATACTATCTGTGTGACTCTAGATATGCACTGAAGTAAGACGAGCAATGATTCTCTCCTTGGCTCCGTACTTGGTGGGCCATTGGGCCCACTTTTGGGCCAATTTCGATGATCTGAACCGTTCACATTTTAGGATTTGTCGAGTATATCATACTTGTAAAAAATCAAGTTGATCGAACTAAAAATCATTTATTAAAAAAATGTAATAAACTGTTTTATTTTTAAATAAAACTTTTAGTTTGATGGTCCGAACATGTGATTTCTGATATCCAATTGACTTAATTTTTTACAGGTATGATATACTCGACAAATCGTAAAATGGGACGGTTCGAATCATCGAAATTAGGCTCAAAAGTGGGCCCAATAGCCCACCAAATAGGGAGCCAAGGAGAGGATCCTTGCTCGAAGTAGGACCTCCTGCAAGCAACATGAAGTGATAAAGCCATGGGATTTTCCTATGGAAAGAATTTCCGTAAGATTTTTTTAATTTCTAATCATATGCAAAAGTACCATGTAATTTAATTGGTCAGATAATATTTTTTTAACATGAATTAGTTCAATTTTGAGGTTTTAAGCCTTTCCCCATCAAACATGACGTATAACCCAACAATGCGAGTCATTTTGTTTGGCTAACTTTTCTAAGTCTCTTTGTTATGTTTGGATTTTAGATTTTGAATTTTTGCCAATAAAATTAATATATAGGAAAAAGAAGATGTAGTGAAAATAACTTCATTTTTTTTCCTCTGTATTTTAGTTTGGTTAGGAAAAAAAAGAAGAAATGAATAAATATTGGTTTAAAAACTTTTTTTTTTTGTTTGTTTAGTTATTCATAAACAAAATTTAATATGTTGAAGCAATTGATTTTGCTAAATAAATCCAATATCTAAATATAGACTTAATTTTGTTGTTTTTTTTTTTTTTTTTTTAATATCATAGTTTTCTGTTTTGTGGAGAGAAGATTAGAGTTTCAACAATATTTTTGTTCTTATATGCATATTTATAGTAAGGTGTTTTTTAACAGAGAGTGTATGTTACAACATTGTTAGACAGGTTGAGGTGAAAAATTCTGAACTTGTATTTCTTATTGTTCATAGTTGATTTTTCTTCTTCTCTCCTTCATGGACATGGACATATCCGTGTTTGTCTTATAATTTAAATCCTAAACGGTAAATATATTTGATATGCCAACTTCAACTTTATTAGAAAGGCAATGTGCGAGAAATTTAATCATACATAAATGATTGAATCTTCCTACGTTGCAGAATGAAGAACTTAATTTTCAAATTTAATTTTCCCTGAGCATTGCTCCTAATGTAGGCTATAAAAGATTTCCCTTGATCTGTAAATAATTGCCCACTTTACGATTTTATTGTAGCATAGATTCATCTGGATATTTAAATGATTTCTAACTTTTTGGACATGCCTTTGTTTCTTTTAGGTTACCAACAATTTAGGCAGCTATTATATTTTCAAATGAATAAATAGAATGAAATCACATGCAACGAGAGTTTTTAAACTTCTATATTAGTGGATGGAGATAAAAAAATTACCTTGCAATTGTTTAAAAAAAAAAAAAAGAGTCGGCAAAATCTATATATGAATTTAGCCTTCAAGGAAGACTAAAACCCTGGGTATAAACATGTATTTCTTGCCAAAACAAATTAAACAAAAATATTGATAGATTTCAAATAACAAGAAATACAAGAACATCAGATACAACACTTACAATAATTACTGTTACTGTCACATCCACACAAGGAGATAAAAAGTAGATAAAGCATCGCATCCCAATATTGTATTTGAAAACATTAAGGCAAGCAGCAATAATGCAAAGAAACTAGCCTACAAGCTATGGAGTTTTAATCTGATCAGTTTTCTCTGAAGATATATTGGTAATTACATCTACAAGTTCCTAAGCTTGAGCTCCTAAACACCATCGGATCGATTGTCCCAATCTCCTGCCACAGGGGCCTTCATGAGGCTTTCATAACCTGTCACTCACCAGACAAATGGAAAAATTGACAAATAATGTCAGAATAACAAAATAGGTTAGTATCATGTTTCAGATTTGTAGTGAACCTAGTTTATTCAAACTGCTTGTAAAAGTTTAGCGAAAAAAATAAAACAAACAAACATGGCTGAGTGAATAAAATTGTTTTTCATGGGTAGGGTTCAATTAGGCAGTCATGCACGGATTGTTTATTTAACTAAGCTTGTGTTGTGGTTGCAATCTAATGGCACGTCTAAACAGAGAACACAGACTACTATTCGTTGATTAGGTCTTTGAGGGAATGGTAAATAATCTCTCTATATCTCATAAATGATAAATGATATGAGAAATTACCTGACTGTTGAAAACCATTTGCTCCAGGTTAGTGTGAATATATATCTTTAGCTAATGGGCCCATCGAATCTTCATCAATTTCAAATTCCTTATAAGCTGGAAAAGTTTTGTTCCTCCACTTTATTGCATCCCACCACTCTTTCTCCCCTTTGATCTTCAAATTATCACCAGACACTTCCATGGCATGCAGACTTTTGAGCTTTGGACAGTTATAAACAATCAGACTTTCTAATACTGGACCAATACTTAGGCCACCAGAAATAGTAACCAATTCAGGTAAGTCAAGAAGTGACATCTTCTTCAAGTTTTGGAGAACATTACCAGAGGATTTGAAGTCTGACAATTCCTGACTTACCAGGCTCCTGACTTTGAAGCAATCTTCAACTATAAGCTCTTCCAACTTGACGAGATTACCAAGTAAATTTGGGGTGAAAATAGTAATCAAATTGGGACATGTGTGCAATGCCAAGTACCTCAGATTGGATAGACAACCCTTGTCAATTTGGCCTTTCCAAATACTTCGTAAATTCTTCATGTAATGAATACCCAAGTATTGTAGCCGTTCAAACACAGGTTTCCCCCACCGATATTCACTATCTCCATCAATAATGGTTTGAAATTCATTGCATTCCACTAGCAAGCAAAATTTGAGTTGAACCATATTTTCATTCCCGAATTCAGACAACGTCTTAGCAGTATAATGGCGATCAAGGAAAAAAACAGAGGCATGCTGGAGTGCCTCGGTAATCCCACTAGGCTTGCCCTCACCATTTATGTAGTTGAGGCATTTCTTTGATTTTTCCCATTTCTTGAATAATTCCCCAACTTCACGTGGTAGACGGAATATGATTCGCCATGGATGATGGCCAACAGTGAATCCAAATTGAGACAAATCTGGATACATAACTTGTTTGTTATTCCATTTAAGTTGCTGCAGTGATTCCACTGATGGCAGATACAACCTGAGTATTTTCAACTTTTGTAAGCTACTCAATTCATTCAGTATTTCCTTCACATTAGCATCCCACACATCAACATCCCACTGGTCGGCATCTGGATTCACATCAATGCTTAATTCATTCAATTCCGAGAGTTTTGACAACACCTTTGTTGGGATGATCGAATCCATCTGCTTTAATTCTTCGTAGCGGTTTGCACATCCACAAAAAGAGACCCTGAAGCACTTCAAACTGATTAATTGTCCAATTTCTTTGGGTAAATACATTAATTCAGTTCCTTCAAGATCAAATTCCTCAAGCATCCCAAGTTCTCCAATTTGGGGCGGCAACTCCATGAGAAGTTCACAACCTTTCAAACGGAATGTATGAAGTAAAACCAACATGGAAATAGAAGGTGGCAAAGATTTGATGCTAGTGTAGGACAAATCTAGAGAATGTAGGAGAGGCATGTCTTCAAAAAATAATCGAGGAATTTCCATCAGATCATAGTTCTTATGTAACCACAACTTTGTGAGGATTCGGCATTTAGGGTTCTCCGGAAGCTTGGATAATTTGTTATCCATCAAGTAAATCTCTCTAGCATTATTCCACTCTTCAATCTTTGGTGTCTCAACCAATCCTAGTCCCCCTTGCTTTAGATAGAGGCTTGGTAGATAGGGTATAAAATACTTTTGCAGTACATTTTTAGTTTCCTTTCGCATCCGGACTTCATTTACCCCAACATTATTCTCTAGCAAGAAGGAATCGATAAGATCTTCAAAAATAGCTTCTCCTTCTTCACGTTTTCCTACTAAACTATTTGAGACCCAATTTGATATTGGCAAATCTCGAAATCCCGAGTTCTGTGCACAAAATTTAATGCAATGCTTTGTTATGATGTCCTTCTGATCCCAAACGAGTTTTAACACATTAACCATGACTTCAGAGGACTGTGATGTTAATTGGTGGAGTGCAAGTTCCCACACACCAATATCAGTCACATCTTTCAAGGCCCTTGCAAGAAGAATGATTGCAAGTAGGTGACCGTGGCATTCTTTCACTAACCGGATGGCCATTTGTTGGATAGCAGAAGAAAGAACAAGTGATGCGCCCACGTTCCAACAGAACAGGTTCCAGGGTAACAGATGATCATCCATTCTGATCTCTAGATCCACATCCATTATCTCATAAACTTTTTGAGATTGAGTTGTGAGAACTACGAATCCATGATCAGGGATTTTTAAGTTGTATAGAGTATCTATTGGCCCATCCAAACAATTCACAAGCAGCAAGAAGTCGTCAGGTAGGAATTGAAGTAGCTGTTCCTTGAAAATCAAAATGTCATCAATTTGACGAAATCTGGCAATCTGTTTAGCAATGTTCTGCCTAACCTCTTCGTCACTGTGATGTCTTGAGACAGAGAAGCAGAGGACGATACTACATTTGGCTTGTATCATCGATATATCTTTCAGTGCTTTTGTTACTTCCTCCCTTCCGCTCCCTGAGATCCCAATCTTTCGAAATATTCCATCCTGAAAGCATTTGGAGACCTGGCGAATAGCAGAATCAATAGCCAATTGCAACATTTCATCTGGCGCTTCAAATTTACCACGCGCCTGACTTGTTAACCCAACCTCAATTCTGTGTGTCAAACTCTTACCTGACCTTGCCGTAATAACATCAGCTTCTTGAGGTAAATAACCCACCACATGAAAATCATATCTATCCAACATTCTTTCGACCTCACGAATAAGAAAAATCATCTTCTCGCCTAATTCATGTCCATGTTCCTCATATATGTCATCTAATAGCAAAGCTTTTATTTCTCTTCGTAATTGATTCATATCGGAAAATCGCCTCCTGAGAAATACAGGGTTAAAAAAATCTTCATCTGGTTCTGGTTTCATAGGATATGACAAGATAAAGTGTAGGAAGTCCTTTTTCCTTGTCAAAATCTGAGCTTTTCCTATAATTCCTTTCCCATCTTTTGCTTGTGGGCTGAAGGTATTCTCCAAGATTTCCATTTCCAAGGCCTCGTCCTCATCCTCATCCAATAGAGTTAAAGTTGCTTTTTCAGTTTCCATGGATAATTCTTCTTCTTCTTCTTCTTCTTCTTCTTCTTCTTCTTCTTCTTCTTTATGTGGTCTTGCCATTGCTTTGAACAAAATGTCTTTCAGCTTTTTGATCCGCCTATGTATGTATACGAACAAAATGACTATCAAACTAAGGGTGTATCTCAACAATGGCACTATGGACATACCTAGGCCAACTACAATAAACCATGCCATAATTGCCGGTACCAATGTAAGTATGAACATAGTGGCCATAACGGCTACGTAAGGAAGCACCGTAGTGATTATTTCCATAATCCTTCCTGCTTTGAGCAAAATGTCACTCTCACAAGAGGCCGTAACCACTAGTAATCCGATCACCAACGCCAACAGCAGGATGTTCATAAGTAACAATTCCATGAATAATTGTTTTTCTGTCAACAAAATATCTCCCCGAGCAGAAACCCATGCCATCATTATGACCATTAAGAAAACCAATAGCGATTTGCACACAGAAACAACCTGTTTCTTGAAATCTGCTTGAGTGGGCATTGGGGAATCTACCAAACATTTACTTACAATCAAGACTGGTTTCTTGAAATCTGCTTCAGTGGGCATCGGGGAATCTGACAAACATTTACTTACAGTCATACTCGAGTCGACCATGAATGTTTAGTGGGTGTTTGATAATAATAATAATAATAATAGAGGTTTGTTTAAAATACAATTTGCCCCCTATGATTTTATAAATTACATTTTGTCTTAAGAAATTTCTAATTTCATAACAAATAACCCCTTTTATCAATAAATCATCAAATCAACTAACAGTTTTTAATGATATTAGAAATTTATTTTAATTAATAATTCAAGTAACTTAATTATTGTATAGTAGAGTAATTAAAAATTTCATTTTTTTAGTTAATTCTGTTAAATATATTTTTTTTTATAAAATGATATTTGTAATTTTCCAAACCACATGGAGACAATCCGTATTTTAAATAAACCTCAAGGGATATATTTGTAATTTACCCTAAGAAAAGATATAAACCCAGAAAGCTTGCCATCAAATTTGTCTAGAAAAAGTATATAGTGGCAACGATACTTACATATCTAGAAAAAGTACTCAAAAATTTATTTAGATAAGTACATCTACGTATCACACTCATTCTAAATGTGATTCAAATTTATCAACTTCAAATCTACATCACTCATCACTCACTTTCGGGATAGAATTCAGGGCACAAATTCATGGTCCATAGCATTTCCCATGTGGTGGAGATTGAAATTGATGTGTTATGTGTCGCGATCTTAATTTTTTTAAGTCATTATTTATTATTATTATGATTATTATTATCTTATTTTATTTTTAATTTTATTAATTGTGTAGTCGCATGAGAATTTAATGTATTATTTAATTATATATAATTAATCTAAATATTTATATATTTATATTTGTTATATAAAAAAAAAGAGATGTTATATATATATATATATATTTTTTAATCTTATATTTATATTTATATATATTATAATTATGTTGTATTATATAATATTATAATAGTTTATTAGGTTATGAGGGCTAGAGCCTAGTGAGAAAAACGAGAGCAGGCCCAGCGGAAAGGAGAGAAGAGAGAAAGAGAGAGAGAAGAGAAGAGAGAGACAGCGCGGAAGGTGGAGAAGAGGGAGAAAAAAAATTATTTTGGTGGTTCTATTAATTTTCAAGTGATTATTTGATCTTTAAAAAAATATTGTGAGTACAAAATTTACTTTCTTTTATTTATATTTAATTTGTTGTTTTTATTTATTTATTTTTATTTATTTGATGTTGAATTGATTTCATATTTGCATGTAAATGATTGATTGATTTTAGGTTAATTACATTAATAGTCCCTATAGTTTGAGACTTGTGTCACTTTGGTTTCTAACTTTTTAATTGTGACACATTTGACCTTGAATTTTGAATCTTGTTCCAAATAAGGACAATTGAAAATATCATTAGATTTTTCAAGGGTAAAATTGTCAATTTGATAAAATATAAACTAATTTGACAAAAATAAATGTCAAACAAATATTTTTGAATTTTAAAAAATTATTTATACCCACTAAAAATAACATTATGTAAAATTGATAAATCTTTTAGGCATTTATTTATTTTTTTACCAAATTAATTTTTATTATGTGTTTGGATGATGATCATATAAAATTAATTTTAAAAAATTAATCATGTAATTTTTATTAATTTTACATAATTTTATCATTAGTGGATAAAAAAAATTTTAAAAAAAATAAAAATATTTTTTTGACATTTATTTTTGTCAAATTAGTTTATATTTTATCAAATTGACAATTTTACCCTTGAAAAATCTAATGATATCTTCAATTGTCCTTATTTGGAATAAGATTTAAAATTTAGAGTCAAATGTGTCACAATTGAAAAGTCAAGGACCAAAGTGACACAACCCCCAAACTATAGGGACTATTTGTGTAATTTGCCCTTGATTTTAATTATTTTGATTAGTTATGTATGTAAGGTTTAGGATTTTTAGATAATTGATTGATTTTAATTATTTTGTTTAGTTGTGTATGTAAGGTTTAGAGTTTTTAGTTGATTAATTGATTTTAATTATTTTGATTAGTTGTGTATGTTAGGTTTAGGGTTTTTATATGAATTTATTTTATGATTGTAATCACATTCATGATTATATAAAATTAAAATTAATTAGGAACCCATAGATAAATTCTTTGTACTCCACAATGACTCCATGGATTGTTGTTTTATTTTAGTGTTGGTGAGAAAGAGTATAAAAAAAAATGAGGATTATGAGATTTATTTGAATGCCTTAGGCTTGACATTGTTATGTTTGTTCTCATGAGTGAGATGTTTTGTATATGTATATTGTTGCCTCGTTCTCATGAGTAGACGAGTGTTTTGCTTTACGCGCGTACGTATATGCTAACCATTCGGGGAGTGTGGGTCAAACTCGGGACGATATCCTCGTACAAGTTTGGCTTCGGAGCAGTATTAGGTATACGGGAGGCACATGGGATATATGTGTAGGGCGGAAGTGATGGGCCGAAATGGTGGAGTTAAGGTACAAGGAATTTAATCATGAGTTTATTAGTATAGTGTGAATTGTATTGATTTGTATATCTTGAAAAATAGTAAACGACCTCGATAAATTATGAAATTTGAGAAGAAGCATGCAGACGTGATTCTAGACAACTTTTGTGTATAAACTTTTTATTAAAAAGATCGATTATAACTTATAATCGGATGATCTTGATTACAGTAGTTTTTATTCATTTTAGCAATGCAGATTTTAGAAACTGTTTTAACCAACGAAACGAGCTCATTTTTATTGGTTTCACGCAAACTGAAGTAAAACGTTATTCTGCACACTTTTCATGTTTTGACCTTTTTCCGAAAAAAATCATCTTAGGGTAGTTTTTGTTTGTTTTCAGTTTCAAATTTTTCGATTGAATTCCGTCTAGGTTCTTTTATCAAGTTTTTCTCTCAACCTGTTCAGTTTCTGTTAAATTCGTTCACATTGTCTTTTAGGAAATTTGATTATATACAACTTTAATTCTTTGAGATTTAGTCAATTCAAATTATTTAAGCATGAAACAGTGCATTTTTATACTTCTTTAGCAAGTTGCTTATGATTAAATTATACTAGCTTTTTTTTTTTTTTGCAGGATGGTGGGTCTTACTAATTTTTTTGCAAGGCTGACTCACCATATTTTTATTTCTATTTTTTTATTATATTATACTCAATTTAGATTTCGTTGTGTACAGGCAAGAAACTAAATGCCACCATTTCTCGGGAAACTACTGATTTGTCTCAGTGCGAACGGAACTATTTGTCTTGTCCCGTAACAAGAATTAAATGTATTTTGTTTGTGTCTGGTGGACACGTCGGTGTTAAATCTTGGACTCATACCAGTATACCTGTATACTGACCCGTTTTGTCTCTTGGCAACTCGAGTGCGTTCTGTTTGAACGCAATCAAGCTTCCTTTGTAGGATTAGTTGGGGCTACGGTAGTGACGTGGAATTACTATAGTTGTTGGACTTGTCGTTTGGACTTCTTTTGTTTCCTTGAGCTTAGGGTTGATGTTAGTTTATGTATTTATTATTTTTTTATGACTTTAGTATTGGGATAATTTGGCATGGTTCGTAACCATACGTTATTTAAGTTATTTTGACTACATATTGTTACTTTAATATTGGAGGTATTGGTTAGTTATGAAATTATGGTTGATAGTTTGGTTGGCGTTTAGTTTTTTTTCTTTTTGTTTCACCTCTAGAATTTGGATGATCGAATATTGATTGGGATTTAGTCCTAATTTAATATTTAATTGTCTAAATTTTGGGGCGTGACATTATGAGTCATATCAACAATGAATCTGGTCTAAACAATTCAAATTATGAATAATTTTTTAGATATTTTTGTAAGTTTGTAACATTGCTGCGCTAAAAAGTCAATTTTTGTTTAAAAAGTCAAAAAACCACCAAGTTATTTTTCATTGGTTAAAAAACTAAATATACCATCAACATTGTTCACTCAAAAAAAAAAAAGAAGACATTTTTAACAACTTTCCAAATACATTAATAATAAAAACAACTAAAAAAATTAAAAAGTAAAAATCCACTAAAAAAATCAACTCCAAACTTACCCTTAAACAAGCGGCCTTTCGTCCACCGTTCGACCTTCATCTGTTCAAACTTACCCTTAGACAAGCGGCCTTCTTCCACCGTCGACCTTCCGGCTAAGCTTACCTTTAGACGAGCGGCCTCTTAACTTTCGAGCTCCATTCGGCCAAATTACCGTCAAAACTATAAATAATGATAAGGATATCAATAAATAAATAAATAAATAATGGGTTAATTACATTTAAAGGGATTTTAGGCCAATACCCCCTCATTAGTGAAAAGGATAATCCAAACTTTTTTAATTTATAAACCCCTTGGAGAAAAAGCGCCTCTTTCATCAAGGGCAATAAATTTGTTTTCATTTTTTTTTATAGACAATCTTACGCCTAGTAACTACTTTTATATTTCAAACTTAAAAATAAATAACTTTTATCTATAATTGATTTTAATAAAATTAGTAATTTTAGAATCTTCTCGTCAAGATCTGTTAAAACAAGATTTATGTTGGCTATAAAATCTTTAAAAAAAATCATAATTTTTTTCCCTGTCGAAACTAACGTCAACAGTCAAATTTTACTTACTGTGAAACAGAGTAAAATTTTACTATTTACGTCAATTTCGACAGTAATTTTTTTCAAGAAAAATTTCATATTCAACCAGAAAATCTCATTGAATGATAAGCAAATCTGTGGCTATCTCCTTTGTTCTGGAAGGTAAAGCTTCTGCTATTTGTCAAGCTTGTTTAATGGCTCAAGCAAAAAACCTTTGAACAATGAATTGAAGGTGATATCAGTCTGTTATCCATCTCTATGCTTCATAAACAGTCCTCCTTGTGGGAGTGCAAGGGGATTATTCATGATATCAAATGTTTCGCTTAGCAAGGGAAGTTGGCCTTTCGTTGGAGTCCTCGATTGGCAAACATGGCAGCTCACTAGACAACCCAACCTATCTTCGAGGGGTTTTGCCAATTTCTTGGACGCTTCCCCTCCCCTGGCTTATTG